GGGCATGTGGGGAAATGAGTTGGAATTAGAATCGGAAATGAAATGAATTAGTTTTGTTGGCCTACTTCTTAGGGGGAAATGCCCCCTCAGCGCCCGAATGGACGAAAATTTGCGGTTTATCGAGAATAAAATGAAAACGTAACAATTTTTATGAGGAAAAGTTTTCGAGTTTTTGGAATTTGGAGTTACATTCTGTTATAACTCTATGAACAATGTCGAACCATTCCCAGTCTCTGTCGGATCTTCAGTAGGTACAGGTCTCGCGAGATTAAGCGGTAGGTTTTGCATTTTTACATTTCCGGTTATATCTTAGAAACTAATCGATCTACGATGAAGCCATTTTACACGATCATGGCCAGCTTGTTACCCAACAAGTCGATCGCGTCTTCAACACTTAAAAGCTTAAGACGACGAAGATATAGCCTGAAGTACACTAAATTTCTAGGTGCAAAACCTACCGCTAAAACCCGCGAGACCTGTACATCCATTATTCAGTTCCGAGTTCGTCAGCTATTAAATCAGAACGCAAACTCTCACCCTATTCTATGACTCTCTCTCTCTCTCTCTCTCTCTCTCTCTCTCTCTCTCTCTCTCTCTCTCTCTCTCTCTCTCTCTCTCTCTCTCTCTCTCTCTCTCTCTCTCCCTCTCTCTTCTCTCTCTTTCTCTCTCTCTCTCTCTCTCTCTCTCTCTCTCTCTCTCTCTCTCTCTCTCTCTCTCTCTTTCCCTCCATCCCTACTTTCCTCTTTCTTTCTTTCTTTCTTTCTTTCTTTCTTTCTTTCTTTCTTTCTTTCTTTCTTTCTTTCTTTCTTATTCTCTCTCCCTCAATCTCTCTTCTCTTCTCTCATCTCCTCTCCTCTCCTGCCGCCAGTGGCCAGTCACCTCAAACTCCCCATGGTCTCTTTTTGAACGGCTGCCGCTCGAGCCAACGGCCCCCGCCCCCTCATCTGGGCTCCAAGACGCCCATAGTTTCCCGACGAGTCCATAGTTCGCCCGTCGCCGCGGACTGCGGAGACCCTCGCTACGGCGCGGGGACATGGGTGTAACTTTGTATACTTTCGAGGTCCCATGTGGGACCCCAATGCGAACATTTGGGACCCCAATTGTCATTTTGGGACCCCAATAGTGGAGGCCCCCGAGACGCATCAGCTTCTTTGCAAACGGAGGTCCGATATTCATATAAAAGGTTCTCTGTTTAAATAGGAGGCCCCTTGGACAAATCGGAGGCCCTGTTGGACAAATAGGAGGCCCCCTGAACAAGTAGGAGGCCCCCTGAACAAGTAGGAGGCCCCCTGAACAAGTAGGAGGCCCCCGGAAAACAGGAAGTCCCCTGGAGAAATAGGAGGCTCTCTGGACAAGTAGGAGGCCTCCTGGACAAATAGGAGGCCCTAGACAAATAAGAGGCCCCTAGACAAATAGTAAGCCCCATGGACAAGTAGGAGGCCCTCTGTACAAATAGGAGGCCCCCCTGCAAAAATAGGAGGCCCCCTGGACAAATAGGAGGTCCTAGACCTAGACAAACAGGAGGCCCCTTTCACAAAAGGAGGCCCCTGGACAAATAGGAGGCCCCATGGACAAGTAGGAGGCCCTCTGTACAAATAGGAGGCCCCTGCAAAAATAGGAGGCCCCCTGGACAAATAGAAGGTCCTAGACCTAGACAAAAAGGAGGCCCCTTTCACAAAAGGAGGCCCCCTGGACAAATAGGAGGCCCCTTTCACAAAAGGAGGCCCCTGGACAATTAAGAGGCCCCCTGAACAAGGAGGCCCCCTGGATAAAGAGGAAGCCCCCTAAAAATAGGAGCCCTCTGGATAAATAGGAGGCCGCTTGGAAAATAAGAGGCTACTTTAACCAATAGGAGGCCCCTTGGACAAATAGGAGTCCCCCTGAACATGTAGGAGGCACGCTGGACAAATAGGAGGCCTCTTGGGCAAAGAGGCCCCTAGAAAAATAACAGGTCCCTTGGACAAATAGGAGGCCCCCTGGACAAATAGGGGACCTCTTGAACAAATAGGAGGCTCCATGGACAAGTAGGAGCTAGAGGCTCTCTGTACGAATAGGAGGCCCCCTGGACAAATAGAAGGCTCCCTTAACAAAAAGGAGTCCCTTCAAAAAAAAGGAGGCCCCGGGACAAGTAGGAGACCCTTGGACAAATAGGAGGCCCCTGCACAAATATGAGACTCCTAGTCGAATAAAAGACCCCTGGATAAATAGGAGGCCCCTGGACAAATAGGAGGCCCCTGAACACGTAGGAGGCCCCCTAGATAAAGAGGAGGCCCCCTGGAAAATAGAAGCCCCCTGGATAAATAGGGGACCTTCTGGAGAAACAGGAGGCCTCCTGGACAAATAGGAGGTCCCATAGACGAATAGGAGGCCGCTTGGACAAATAGGAGGCGCCGTTAACCAATAGGAGGCCCCCTAGACAAACAGGAGGCCCTCTGTAACAGTAGGAGGCTCTCTGTACGTACAAGAGACCGGCGCTCGACCTGTAGAAGCTTAGCCGTATGTACGCTAGGAGGCTCTCTGTGCAAGTAGTCGAAGTAGGAGGCTCTCTGTACTGTACCTACAATTACAAATAAGAGGCCCCCTGGGTAACTTAGATGCAACACAAATCGGAGGTCACCTATAAAAAAGCGGGACTCTGTTGGAATACCTGATTTAATAAATTATTTTCCTGATATTCAAATTACTTAGGTAATCCTCGTCCGCACATGGGGGGGGGGGGGGCAGTGGTTGCCACACACCCCACCCCGACCTAGGTAGTTTTTTCTGCTCTGCACTAAACATTTTGATTGCTAGAAGTCGGATATTTCGTATAGCTGCTGCTCTATCCTTTTTTAGCGTCCACTGAAAATTTCAAGTTTCTGTGGTTTTTGGTTTCGGAGATATGACCTTATTCTTCAGGTAATGTCATAACCCAAATGACAAATACCCAATATCTTGCGTTGGCGTTGGGTCTTGTGAGCTTTTGACACCTTGATTTCGGCCTTTTTTGTCAGTCTTACCTCCCACCTATCATGGAACATGTTGTTCAATGATGTAGAGATGCCAGGGTCAGGATCAAGGTCAACCTAGGTCGTCTAAAAATATTGCGTTTTAGGCAAGCTGAATTTACTTTCGTGAAGTTTCTTTGACTGTATTTTTGGCAAAAGCTTCTCAGTTCATGATCTCATGTAATATGGACACATTCACAGTCGGTGCACACATCAGTATACTCGTACACACAGACACACACAGACATACAAACACATGTCATTGACCTTGAGCTAACTTGACCTGAAATGACCACAGCCAGCAAAAACCTAGTCGGATAGTGTGACAAAGAGGTTCTAGCTGGCTTGGCACCACAATACGGCAGCGTCATCGGTACATGATGAGCAGCGCACGTGATATTCCAACGGGCAACGGTGACCCCAAACAGCAACATTCTTTAGTTTGACCTGACCTGGAAGGTCAATGACTGACCTGATGAGGTAAAATTGGTATCATTGGATTCGTCACTTCCCAAAGAATCTGTTGCTCTTGACCGCAAGGCTTAAAATCTTGTAAGAAAAAATTGTGGTGATGTCGAATAAGATACCTACACAAGCAGCGGGCCAACCCATCATATACCGATGACGCTGCCGTATTAGTGCCAAGCGAGCTAGAACAGCTCTTTGTCACACTATCCGACTAATTTGCTGGCTGTGGTCATTTCACGTCAAGTTAGGTCAAGGTCAATGATATGTGTTTGTATGTCTGTGTATGTCTGTGTATGTACTGATGTGTGCACAGATCGGTTTGTGTGTCCCTATTACACTTGATCATGAAGTGAGAAGCTTTTACTAAACATACAGTCAAAGAAACTTCACGAAAAGTAAATTCCTGAAGCGCAATAATTTTAGATGACCTAGGTTGACCTTGACCCTGACTCTGACATCTGTACATCGCAGAACAACATGTTCAATGATAGGTGGGAGGTAAGACTGGCAAAAAAAAGCCGAAATCAGCGTGTCAAAAGCTCACAAGGCCCATAGCCATCGCAAGATATTGGGTATTCGTCATTTAGGACATGACATGACCTGAAGAACAAGGTCATATCTCCAAACCCAAATGCCGCAGAAGCTTGAAATTTTCAATGGACGCTGAGAAAAGATAGAAAAGCAGCTATACAAAGAAAATCAGGTTTCTAGCTTTAAAAATGTTAAGTGTAGAGCAGAAAAACTAACTTGGGGGTGGCGACCCTCCCCCCAGGTGCCGGCGAAGGTTAACCCTCACACTTTCTGGGGTCGGCTTACGGCTAGATTCCTTGCGCAATGCTGTGCCGTTAATTTTTTTTTCTATTATAAAGGCATTGTGTTTTATTGTCAAAAGTGAAAAAGCCAGAAATTTTCGTCGATTTCGGATGCCGCGGGGGATATTTACATACAATGTCACCCTGCTGGCCTGGATCCACCAGTAGGGTCAGGTGACCTACCATTTCTTTATCGATATTAAAAAAGAAAATCATGGCATCAGAGCTGTGACGAAAAATAAGTGGCCTAAATCCGATGAGAAAACTGGATTTGGGGGTACCCCATGTTTGGCTTCTGAGCCTCTGGTCCCCCAATGAAAATTTCTTAGAGGAGGCCCTGGCGTGGCTCGTAAATTACCGCTTCCGCAATTGGAGGCCCCTAATTGCTTGGAGGCCCCCACTAAATGGAGGCCCCCTTGGACGTTTGGGACCCCAATGGTGATGTCAAAGTTTCACCCATGCGCGGGGACGAACCAAACGGTCGCCGCTGAATCTCCGGGGAGAGGGAGGGGCAAAGGTCGCCTTTCAGCCGTCAGTGCCGCTCCCGTCGCTGGCTTCTTTGGTAACACGAGAGCGGCGGCGGCCACGCCATTTTCTTTTCTTCTCGCTGACCTGAAAACCGGCTTTGTGCCGTGGCTGCCGGGGAGGCGCCTCCGAGTCGGGGGGCGGGGCCTGCGCGGCGGCGACCAATCAGAGGCCGGGCCGGCGGCCAGAAGTCAGTGATTGATGGTGGCGGCTGGAGAGTCATTTGACGTGAGAAAGGCGGCCGGTGACTACCGACGACATGGACCTCAGCGTCGCCGGCAAGATGACCACCAGCCCCTCAAGTAAGTCAGAATGGCGCCGACTGACGGCCGTTTGGCATTTGTTGCTGGATGTGCAGAGCGAACTTTGTGTGCATGGACTGTGACGTGCAATAAGTAGGTAGGTATATTGATTTTTATTGTCAGGGGACTTGTTCATAAGAGAATAATGTTGAAAGACCTAAGTTGGTAAAGTGCTCCATGCTTCAAAGGCCAAAGCCTTTTTAAATGTTAAATTAAAAGAACATGGTGTTATCCAATAGATAGGTATAGGTACTGGGACAGTCAAAATATGGTTCTCTCCTTGCTAGTTGCTGGAACTCGGTTCAAGTTCGACATTTACAAAGTAAAATAGCCAACCTGCGACACTTCGTATTTTCTGGCATTCAATCCCTACTGAACTTAAACACGACAACATTATTATAAGATCCTTCCTGCAATGTTTTTTCCTTTAATTTGAGTCCACGACAACAAAAGAAATTATTCTTATTAGGTAGGTACTACGTTAATGAAGCACACAGCTAGGGTAAAATGTGCTCGCTATATTCCCCTACGCCTACCCACCTATTTAGGTGTAAAAATAAAATGTTTACACGATGACGTTGGCATGAACTCACTCGGACAGGGTGACATTATGCAAATTATACGTAAGATGACGTTAAACTTTCTAATAGTTTAATTGAGCTAGAAATACAATGTAACTATTGCGTAGCAAAACAGCATGAGACGCATCTAAATGGCTGTCGAAAGATGACACACGATTATATAGGACATTTTTGGGGTATGGACATTTTTAATTTTGGGTGTTCTCAAGTACGGTAAGATTCGGTCAGGACGGCGTCAGCCCACGACCCTTCATTGGTTGTCAGTCTGCGTTTATGAGTTAGCTACCAATTTGTAATTATGCAGATCATAGGTACCATACAATCTACTTGACAGGTTTGAAAGATCCATTTACGACGCCCGGGGTCGGTAATAGGCCTCAACGCATGTTTTGCCGCCTTAAACTATTTGGCTTTTCGTGTAAAGGCTGCTCAATGGCAGAACAACTGTTGAAGAGCCAGCTGACGAAAATTTTAGCCATAGGCTCATTTCAAAGTTTTATTTTCAATTTTTATTTTGGGGCATTTTTGTTGAAGTAGCTTCTACTTATATATCACCCCGCGACAATTTAAGAAAAAATGATGGGAAGCGTCACCAATTATTTTATCTACTCCTTGGTATAAAGTTCCTGTTCGGCCGAAATAAAACGCCGTTGTTTTTGGCGCTTATAAATATCTTAAGTGACGGCATGTTGCGACCTTGAAACTTGACAGAATTTTAATTGGCCCCGGGCCCGGTCTCGCTGGTCGTCAGAATTACTCCCTGGGCGACCTTTTCTGCCGCCGGTACCCAGGCTATGCGTTGAACCGTCTTACACATTAGGGGAGAGTGGGGAAAGATGCCCAGGGTTTTACTTTGTCATATATTATTCGAAAATGACGATCGGAAAGCAAAAACTTGGAGTTTCAACGGAAGCCGACGTCATTTTTCTCAAAAAATAACACTCTTTCGTGCCTGAAATATGATAGCTTTTATGCTATTAAGAATTTTCCTGAAGAAGTGAAAGGGGGCATCTTACCCCACAGGGTGGAAAAGACGCCCCTGGCGTTGGGGAAGATGCCCCCTGCACTATAGGTATGTGACATAAATGGGCACGTGAATCGCCTGAACGAATCAGTAGTCCCTTCGAGCCTGCAATAGACACTAAACGTCATCGAAAGGGCCCTCAAAAGTAGTCGTAAGGGACTTCAGAGGCCATCTTTAGGGCCATCATAGTTCAGCGCGGCCAAACAAGCCTCCGTGGTGGCGTTCGGAGACCGCTGTGGGGCCCTTATAGGTCTTTATGATGCTTGAGGGACCTCGAGCCCATCGTGGGGACCTCAGATGCCAGCACGGCCCGTGGAGCCAACGTGGGAGCCCTCAAAAGATGTCGTGAGGGGCCTTGGAGCCAATAATGGGGCCCACAGAGGCCGTCATGAGGGCTCTCAGAGTCATATGCCGCCCAAAAAGTCGCTGTGTGTGCAGAGAGACCGGCATGGGGAGCACCCGACCGTACTGGACTCTCAATAGTCCCCAGATCGGATTTTGTCTCTCATCACAACACAAGTATGTAATAAATGATTTGACGGGTTCCTTGAAGGCCAGCATACGGATTTAGGGGGGCGTCTTTCCCCATCAGGGCAGGGGGCATCTTACCCCAAGGTACCGAATTAACATTAAATCAGTACAATTTGTTAGCCATAAAACCACACCCTGAAACAAACTGTTTGGGACACAGTACACGCATGTTAATGTATCACGACTATAGCAAGGGACGCAAAAATTATCTACTTTCTTTTATATTTACAATGTTTTGACCTCAAAATATTTTTTGAAAGCAGCAAATAAAGAACATGCAATCACCAGCCAGCCGTTGCCCAACTGAGCTCCGCAAATTTTTGTGCAGTTAACAAGGCAGGCTTCCGCTTTACGCTAAGAACATTCATTTCCAGGTTCGAGTCTTTGTATCGCCGCTAGAGGGGGTGGGGCGTCTTTCCCACCCTGGGCATCTTACCCCACTCTCCCCTACTATTGAAGCCGACTTATTAGAAGCATCGGAAATGTTGTTTTTTATTAAGACTCTTAAAATGTTATACATTAAATAAGTGCAAATAGGTGTATTAACTTGACCGAGTTCAGTTCACTCAAAGAACAGCTGGCAGCAGCCGCCAGCCGTTATGCATGAAACCGGGCAATGCGGCCAGCACGAATTAATGCAGCGGCCAGCCAGTAGTGCTGACCGCTAAAGAAACATATCCGACTTCGCTTTTGGAAAGACGAAACCTCGTGGTTGTGTTGGCATTTTCTTTATATAAATTTAGTCCGAACACTCTTTAGTGCCCTGGTCCGAACATTTTCATTGGAAGGATTCACAAGAACAGAGTCCCCGCTAAGCAAAGCTTGTTGCGTTGACCCTGCCCTCTACCCTCCGATCGCGCAATTCCGGTTCTATGGCAGAACTTAAGAGTCCAAAGTTTAACGTGCGCACAAAGCCGCGCACGGCCGGTCCCCTCACTGACTTCGCCTGGCTACGGCCTGCCACCAACCGCAGTCATACCTGTCAGGAGGCCCATAAACGTCAAGTGCCCGTCGCAATTCGAACCCGGACTGTTGTAACCGGGTACGCTGCTCTCACCACGCGGAGTCCAACGCTCTACTGACTGAGCTACGGGACTGGTATGTCGTGTTAATGTGGCTTAAAACGAGTTTGTAACGAATCCATGACAGATGTAGAATGATCATAGGGAATAACTCAAGTTAATCGTAAAAGGCAAACCTTTCGATACATACGGTATCTTGATCGCTGAATAAGTATTCACCTCATTGACCGTGATCAAGATACTGTATGCATCGAAAGCTTTTGTATTTTACAATAAACTTGAAGTAAAACGATTTGCTTAATGCTGCGGGGATTGTCTTACAACACCCGTGGCGTAAGAGGCCATTTACCTAACAACTTTTTGTAGAATTATTATTATGAGGCGTTTTTTAACTTTTGACTTTTTGAGGCCATTTTGAAGGTTGGGATGCGTAGAAAAAAGTACATAGGCCCAGGATATATAAGAATATTTAAATGTTATTGTAGGTAATGTTTTTTTCTGCTGAAGATGCTGCACGCTATGCTAATTGCTAGAAATGTTGCAGCCATTACACACAAATGCCTAACTAAGTGGTTACTTCGCTTAAATGGAGTTACTGAAGCACCAACACACAATACCTACCGCGTACTGGCGTGCTACGTCAAATTTCCAATCCCAGCTGGGGGCAAAATGGCAGCCGGCGAAATAAAGTGGTTTATGGGATATTGCGTCACCTTAAGGAAAAACGCTAATTGCAAGAAAACCGCTGGAGATATAAGCATGCACTGGTAACCATTTCAAAGAGGAGCTCATTGGCTACGATTTAAGAGCCTCCCGATCAATTAAGAATGTTTCGTTTGCTTCTGACAGCTGCTTTTTCAAAAACATGCAAAAGGGCGCATTTGCCAACAACTGCTGTAAATTGCGCCAGGGGGATGGCGCAATTAGAACCCAATTGCGCCCTATACTTTAACATGGCTAAGTGAATGAGACGGAATGCATACACCCGGGCAGTCTAATGTCTGTGCGGCTTACTTAAACATTTATAATGATATTCAGGCTGGATGAATAATAAATGTAGATATAAATTGCGATGTTTTTTGCCCAGGTAGATAACTTTACATGTGTCCGTACGCTTGTAAAAGTGCAACGAAAACGTTTACTGTAACTGACTAGATATATGTGAACGTATGCGCCTATACAGTTAAATTTTCAATCGGTTCTCTCAAAATTAATAATTTTTATCGTTTTGACAACTTAATGACACCAGTTTTTACTTTTTTATCATAGCTGTCACTTCTCACGCCTGAGTCCATGTTGAAAATGTCGTATTTTGTCAATTACACCAAAAGTCGTGGCCTAAATGGCAGCTGCATTATAAGTTTGACGATAGAGATAATTTGCGGACTGACAACAGCGGGCTGCTCCCTTGCCTGACATTCAACTCCTTCTTTATTGCAATCAGTTAATGATGCATTCATACTGTCGTGATACAATGGCTACACCATTATTCTATTTGCGCCCCCCTGGCGCAATTGCCATGGGCGCAATTAAAATTGAGCTACTTTTTAATAAAAGCATAGAAGTTATCATAAAGATGTTGCAGGAAGTTTACGGTTTCAGTGATATACAATGAAAAATGGGTTTTTCTTTCTAAATATCACTCTGAAAATTACACAAATATCGTAAATTTTTATAGCCAACGGTTCAAAATACTGCAAAAAAGTTAAGAAAACACCATACCATCTTTGATGGCGTAATGAGCCTTGCTGATTGGCTTCATCGGAGTGTTTGGGCCATAAAATGAACAATCCAGTGGTAAAAATAATGTTTTCGAACACAAAATTCTAAACATGCCATTGAATCCGTGGGAATGTAGGTGGGCGCAATTGGTTAGGAGGGCGCAATACACCCACTTTCCCCTATATCATCAATACCTACACACAGAAAAATATTAACACCGTTAGCGGTGTAATTGCACAGTACATATCTGAGCACTTGAGGAAAGTTAATTTAGTCCCTTCCCCGCTTAAATTACTCGCGCTTCTAAATGAACACCAGGAAGAAGGTAATAGAACACTGTTAGGAGGGTTGGGTGTTTTGCTACATGTAGTAAAACACCCAACCCTCCTAACAGTGTTCTATTACCTTCTTCCTGGTGTTCATTTAGAAGCGCGAGTAATTTAAGCGGGGAAGGGGCTAAATTAACTTTCCTCAAGTGCTCAGATATGTACTGTGCAATTACACCGCTAACGGTGTCAATATTTTTCTGTGTGTACCAATCTATTCCATTATTTCAATGCCATTGACTTTATGGTCGTCTACGTAAAGGTTTGCTAATGCTATATCAATTATCACGCAATGCTAAACCCGATGGGAATTTTTCCCAATACGGTTTCTGAAAGAATTGGAGGTATCCGGTCTATTTAAACGCTTTTGTGTTTTACTATCCATCTTAACTTACATCTAGGTACCTGAAGAGACAAGGTCATGGGTGGAGAGCCTGCCCCGGCTCAAATTTCCCAGCTGGGGGCCAAATAGCAGCCGGCGAAATAAAGCAGTAGGTAAGCCAAGGAATGAAGAACATCATTCGATAAGCATTTAGGTGCTGAACACGCCAACGCTTTACATTTGGTTTTATCTTTAAAAAAAAGTTGAAGCCGGAAACTGTTGACGGCTTGAAGAGAACTCTTAAATTATCACACCTAGAATCCTCTTAAATATTCATCTAGAGTTACAAAAATTTGATGTTCTATTTCAAACTACAAGCAGCTATAGCACTGCACTCCCCTGTCCGAATCGTTCTGCCTCCCATGTTCAGGTTTGTTTATAGTATGTGTCATACATAACTCTCCAGTAGCTTGCCCTCCCTCCCGAGTAGCAGCCACCCCTCCCCTCCGCCTCGGGCGCCGGCCGGAGGTGACACGATGAACGTCCGATGGCTGAGAGGCGGGAGCCGCCGGCCGCGCCGGGGGACCGGGAGGGGAGCATCCGACACACATTGTCCCCGGCTGACGGCCGGACGGACGCCGCGCCGCGGGGCTGTCGGCCGGCGACACTGCCGGGGATGGAGCCGAGTCCGGCCGCCCCGACAGAACGCCGCGCCGGAGAGCCGAGCCTGTCCCGGCCGCCCCACCAGCACACAGGCCGCAGGTGCGCCGCAGCTCGTCAAATCACATCTCGCCGACATCAGGAAGTCGTTATACGGACTGGATGAATGCCAGCCGCGCTGATTACTGCTATTAGATGATTGAGCTAAGCGGAGCTAATGGAAACCGGGCACTCCATTATTTGTGAATATCGATCGGGCGGCCCGGCGCGGGGCCTGGTGGGCGCTGTCACCCTATTTGGCAACAAACAGGGGAGCCGGTGTTAACACGCTCATCACGCGGATAACGGATGCCTCGTACACAATGGCGGTGGTTTGAAATGTTTGTCCCGATCTGTGCGTGATATTTCTGGGTTTAGGTAGGTAGTTAGGTAGCTGGTAGAGGCATTGATGAAATGTCTCAAAACACCAATACCTACGTTATCTGTGTGTCATAAAATGTTTGAAAACATTCATGAGGAAAAAGTTCGGTTGTTGAGGTTGGTGTAAATCGAAACACTAATTGTTGGAAATGCATGACAATATATGACATGACAGTTTGCAGCATAGGTGCTAATTCTCGGATATTACATGCCGTCAGTGAATCTATGAAGTGTAGCTGAATCTGCAGGACCCGATACGGCAACTGCTGAGTGCCGTGGCTGCCCCCGCAGTCAGTGCCGTCCCAGCCGCCTGCAGTCAGTGCCGTCCCAGCCGTGTGACCGCAGCTCGGCTCGGGCTCGGGCCGCCGACCGCAGCGGCGTTACTGGAGCCGCTCCGAGCGGCGGCGCGCGGGCGTTTTTGTTGGTGGGCCCTGCTCGCCGGCCGAGCGGCTGAGCGGCTGGCTGCCAATCGATCGCTGATTCAAACATCGGCCGACCGGAAAATCGCCCGCCCCGCCGACGGGCCGCATCTGCATACGTGTCGGCGGCGCGGCGGCCATTTTCCACCCTTCTGAGCGCGTTAGCGGTGCCGGCGGCAGCGTCGACCGGGCCGCCGATCGGGCCGGCCACCCACGCAGGTCACGGCGCCGGGACTGAACGGGTGGTGCCGGGCCTGGAGCTGGAGAGGAGGCGCGTAGGCCGAGAGACAGTAGAAACTGGCTCAGGCAGTCACAAAATGGAGGACACAATCTGAATGTCTCATTGCAGCAGACTGAAACGTCAGACATCATTGCTCGTACAATGTCATAGAAATGAAAAAGATAAACGGAAACAAGACAAAAATGGAGCACCTACTCATACGGAATCAAGTAACTGTTTCACTGACGTTTCACTGCGGACTGCGGTTCATTGACGGCTTTCTCTGATCCCTTTTCAGGTCGCATTCTGTACGACATCCCGTGTAAGGTGTGCCAGGACCACTCGTCCGGCAAGCACTACGGCATCTTCGCCTGCGACGGCTGCGCCGGCTTCTTCAAGGTAAGAAGCAGTGACGCTGCAGTGCGTCCCAGCGAGCTCGCGCGGCGCTGGCTGGGTCAGTGCTCCCGGCTGGTGTTCCCGTCCTGTGCCGAGCTGAAGTCACCGGCCGCCGGCCGACGGCGGCCGGCGCCGCACTATCAAATTACAGCCACTGACTGAGCCGACTCGAGTGGCGCGGATCACATGATGCAGGGTGCTGTCATGCGTTGGAAATTCACAGCGTGGAGTTGCGTTTCTTGATGAGAATGAGTCAACTGCCAGAGGGAACGGATTCGGAGAAGCACCTGAACCCAAATGAAATCAGAGGCTGCCTCAGCCTTTTCCTCTCTTGTTACTGGTTGTGATGAAGGACCGATTAAGGTTCAAAAGTCGACGTTTTATGACTCATCCCAATTCCCATGCTTTTGGAATGCCTTTTTCACAAACTTCCTAATCTAAACGTAAAATGTTTGCGGTTTTAGGTAATCAATGCGTTTTTAATTTACTTCAAGGTGATTCCTGACATATTATTTCAACGTAAGTCATAACTGAGCGCTTATCGAAGCTACCTGAGATGTAGCATGGTGATGGGATGGGTGATGTAGGTAGTGGTGACAGCGTCGGGTCGGCCCGTTGCCGGAGCGATGAGAGCTGTCCCATGCGGCTGGTGCCTGATACGACGGCCGGCCCGGCGCCTTTTATCATGCTAATGGCCCGGACATCGCTCCGACGAGCGTTCAGGAACGTGAGCTAATTCCGACTCCGGTACACTGCACCACAGAGAGGGCAGGGGCGCGGTAGAACGCCGCACCCCGGACAGGGCAGGGGTGTACTACCTACACTGCACATCACCGGAGAGGGCAGGGCGATGGCGACAGTACAAATCAACGGAGAATGCAAGGCAGGGGCGCACCGCACATACGTCAACATTACACACCGCAGTGGCGTCTCCATCCATGGCATTTGGTGACTCGGTACCGGTACCTATCACCCGTTTACTTTACACCCAGCTCAGCGCCAGTGGTCACAATTTTATGCTTATATAACTAACTATCGATGCAAATCAATTGTGCGTCAAACCTGAGAGGTTGACATGCCTATTTCCGTGGCAATGGTGACTGTCCTTCAATTAGGACCACAGCAACAAAACGGTTTGACGTTTTTACGATACCGTGCGCTGACGAGCTACGACCGTTTTCAGCGCTCGATCCGCCGGAACCGGCAGTACGTGTGCAAGGCCAAGGAGGCCGGCGGCTGCCTGGTGGACAAGACGCACCGGAACCAGTGCCGCGCCTGCCGACTCAGCCGCTGCATCCAGGCCGGCATGAACCGAGACGGTGAGTGGGTGTCTGGTAGTGGTGTCAATTTCAGAAAACGTATGTCCAATGTCCGTCCAATGTCCAATACTTACGTCGACTGTCCGTCCAAAAATGTCCGAGCCAGCCATTTGTCCAAAGATGTCCGGCACCTACGCAATGCTTTACACTCAACACTGTTATCTAATTTGCTTTTAATGAAGCGTCACCAGCTCGGAAATGTTAATCATATCGAATGCTGAGCTTTCTAATATAGCCAATCAATGTTAACCACGATTACTCATTTATAAAAATGTCGAGGTGTAGCAGGCGAATGTCCAATGTTGTCCAAAGCCTGCTGTCATTGTCCAACCGAATTCCGAATCGGACATTGGACAAGATCGGAATTCCGAAGATTCAAGTTCCGATTGACACCACTACTCACTAGTGTCTGGGACGAGCCGAGCGCCGCGCCTCTCTCTCTCTCTCTCTCTCTCTCTCTCTCTCTCTCTCTCTCTCTCTCTCTCTCTCTCTCTCTCTCTCTCTCTCTCTCTCTCTCTCTCTCTCTCTCTCTCCCTCTCTCTCCTGTCTACCGCTGGTTTACACGTGTTTGGTGCGGCCCGTGTCTCCGGCCGCGTTGAGTAATCACTGCACGGGCCGCTGACACGGCTCGGGGTCTCGGTCGTGCCGGCACAGACGGCGCTCCGTCCGTCGCTCGGAGCTCGGCGCTCAGTCAGGCGGCAGGCACGCGGCTCCAGTTTCGGGGCCGGCTGCCTCCGCACTCCTCTGTGGCGAAGTTTTTGTTGCCGCGGCTTGGTCGACGACAGGTCACCTCTGACTAGGACGAGCACGGAGCGCCGTCGGCGGATCGGTCGGCCGGATGTACTGCGACTGGGCCGTCCGATTAGCCGCCCGGCTGTATGTAATAGCACGCTGTGTTTTCACCTGGCGAGCGAGCCTGTGCCGGCCGCCCCAGATGGACGATTGCGATAAGCGGATGTGACAACACGGGCGCGCAGCGGGGCCGGTCACCGTGAGTGATCCGCGGCCCGCGCCGCACCGAGGCACGGTCCGATCGCGCGGCCACCGGTTCAAATGGGCCGTGAAACGGGACTTCATCGCCCCGGGCCGCACAGCGCTTCATAGCGAGACAGTCGGAGAAAGTCACACTAGGCATTGCCGCTGTCTGAAATCTCGAAATCCGTCTAGGAAACTAGAAACTGTTAATTCATAAGGAAGCACGCACTGTGTTCAAATTTATTAGGCGGAGGGTTATCGATGTGGAAGAGCATGACAGGAGAGTGTTCTTGACCTTGCCGATCCCCTGGTGTCTTCACAGCGGTTCAGCACGAGCGGGGCCCGCGGAACTCGACGCTGCGGCGCCAGATGTCGCTGCTGTACGGCGATGGCGGCCACTCTCCGGGCTGCTCGCCGCCCCCGCCCCCGCCCTCGTCAGCGGCGGCCGAGCTGAGCCGTCCGGCGGCGGAGCGGGCCGGGGAGCCGGCCGGCCGGGCCAACTCCAGCAGCCCCCAGCCGGCCGGCGAGCCGCCGCTGCCGCTGCCGGCGCCGCCCACCAGCGCCGCGCTCCCCTACCTGCCCATACCAAAGGTGAGCACTGCAGGGCGCACTGCTGAGAGCACATTGCAGAAAAGCGGATATTGAAAATGTAGTGAGTGCTTCAATGTGCATTGAGCACATCCACTTCATCCACTTCAATGAGCGCTTCATTTAGCCCAATTACCTCGTGTTTTATTAGCGTGTCCACCGAGTGCTCTGACCGCGGTGACGCCCTTCGCTCTGACCGGATTCAATCCGCCGCTCTGACCGAGATGGGTCCGTCGCTGTTGCAGTACGGTCGCGGCGAGTTCCTGCTGCCGCTGGTCAGCTCGCCGGAGACGCTCTGCGAGTCAGCCGCCCGTATCCTGTTCGGAAACGTGGACTGGTCCAAACACCTGCCGGCCTTCACCGCGCTGCCCTACCGGGACCAGGTCAGTTGGCTAGTCTCGGCTCTCACTCGCTGCAGAATGGTGGGTTGTCCTATGTGCCCCGTTCGTGCACCTGTGACCTGGTCTGTGGGGAAGATGGCTGGCTCGTTGTGTCCTGTCTTTGAGAACGAGAAGGTCGAACAGTGACCTGTGTCCGCCGTCGGCACAGCTAGTGACCCGTGTCCCCAGTATGCAGTTAGTAGCCCATGTCCCTCTGTCTGCAGGTGCTGATCCTTGTCACCCTGTGTGCAGCTGGTGACCTGTGTCCCCCTCCCCCGTCGGTCAGTACAGCTAGTGACCCGTGTCTCCTATCTGCAGTTGGTGACCCGTGTCCCCTGTATTTGCAGGTGGTGCTGCTGCAGGAGAGCTGGCGGGAGCTGTTTGTGCTCAGCCTGGCGCAGACCGTGCTGCCCGTGGAGGTGGAGCCGCTGCTGGCGCTCGCCGGAGCCGCCGTCCACCAGTCCGCCGAGCACGTGCTGCCTCTGCTCAAGGAGGTCGGCCAGCTCAGAGAGGTGGTGGCTCGCCTGCGCGCCCTCCGTGTCGACCCCACCGAGTACATGTGCCTCAAGTGGATCGTCCTCTTCAAAACAGGTCAGTGACCACCAGCGGGATAGCTTGCAGTCTGCTGCTTACATCCTGGTGTTTTACTTTTCTTGTTGAGAACGCAATGACCGATTGTATCAAAACGGCTCTTGCTTCGGACGATAATGCTCACATTATGCTGAGGTATACGGCAGGCCCCCAGATGCAACCATCTGATAGCGTCTCTCTGCCCGTGCATTTGCAGAGTTCCCGCGCGGCGGCTCTCCGTTGCGGGAGCTGCAGCAGGCGGCGGCCGTGAGCGTGCTGCAGGACCAGGCGCAGCTCACGCTGACCCGCTATAGCGCAGCCGCCTACCCCACGCAGCCCACCCGGCTGGCCAAGCTGCTGCTCGTCACCGCCACACTACGGGACGTGCCCGCCGCGCTCATCGAGCAGCTCTTCTTCAAGAAAACCATCCGAGACATCCCCATCGAGAGGCTCATCACCGACATGTTCAAAAAGAACGAACTCTGAAATTAGAAACGGTGAAAGGACTGATGGTAAAAATAGGTGGTTGTTTGGAATATATTGTAGACTATTTTATTGGTATTTTTGTCCGGATATATGTGTGCATGTGCGTCGGTGTGCGTTATGTTTTTGTATTGCGTAGGTGGTGCGCCGTATGCGTGTGCGTGTTCTCGGCTGATTTTTAATAATCACCTGGACAATTGTTAAGGACGGCTTGCATATGTAGCGTGTTTGCAACGTGTTTAATTTGTAGTTCGAACAGTCGTGGGCATCCTTGGCAAAGGACGCCACTCGGGTTGTAGTGCCCCACTGTAACTGTTGTGTTTGCGTTTACGCACTTTCTGTTCTGGCCCAGCGGAGGTCAGCTAAAGCGGCGTCAGTACCTACTTATAGTGCAGACTGCAGAGCGTCTCTGAACAGTTTGTCTTTGTGTGCACTGAAACCTGTTACCATGTACGAGTAAATACTTACTTACCTCTTTCACAAACATACTGGGGTGCAGAACCGGCGGAAAATACATGCTTTAAAAGTACTTTGAGTTTCCGTGTAATCAGAGATCACACAGTGCCAAATGTGTCCGTCTAAAAAGTTGCCTATCGGTCGCCACATAAATGGTACGATCTAAGTCATACTTTTGTAGCCGATTGATTTCGTACGAACAGGAGGTTCCAATGTTTGGAATGAATGAATATCAAAGCACACTATCGGTCAAAACATGGACGTAATAAAAACAATATGAATGCATACGGCACTATGTATATGCAATGCATCATGCATTTTAGCGTTAGCGTACCAATTTTTAAACACGGAAAATATAACAGTGAATGCGTATTGTGTTAGCAGGTCATATATAAACGTAAACTTCACATAAGCACATCTGCACATTGCATAAACATTTACTATGTCTGTGGATAAAAGACGAGTTCTGCGCGACCCTGTTCCAAAGACTCGTAAAACCACTTGGTTCTGTCTTATTGATTTCTTCCGGGTCATAGGTCAGGCACTGGAGAATCCAGGGGGGGTATTTGGGGCAAAACCCTCCCCCACAGCGCCCTAAATCGATTTTTTTTTTTTCGAGAATAAAACGAAAACTTAACAATTTTTATCAGGGAGAGTTTGTTATAAACTGCACAGAAGTGCGTTGAAGAATTCAAAATCTGACGAGCTTTGGAATTTGAAGAAACTGTTTTGGGAGTATGCACCCACAACAGCGTCCAAGACCGCCTTTCTGGATTCGCCATCCGGTCACCTCAAGTGACAGTAGCGGCGGAAAACCTTCAATTAAGGGGGGGGGGGCACTGCCGACTTTTGGTCCCATTCTTTCCATGCAACGCCCATAGGCCTAATGTATCAAATGCCCAAATCAAAGGGGGCACGGTGCCCCGGTGCCCTCCCCGTTCCGCCGCCTATGTCAAGTGACCGCATCTCAATGCTTCCCCAACTACACCGGTCACCGACTGAACGATTGCCTTTGCAACGCCAAAGGATCGACACGTTGATAAGGATGACAAGTTGTATGAAGCACATCTCCAATTTTCTATATCGGTGACCTAAGGTTTGAGTTTACTGTCAAGTTGACCTTTCAACATAAAACTTCAATATAAATAGACGAGAGAAACAGAATCCTGTTAAAATTGATGACGCTGATAGAATTAAATTACTGGTAAAATAAAATTGATGAAATTAATGACGTGTTGTGTTGTTGTCAGTGTTGTCAAAAATTATTACAGAAAAACAATTTCATCAAATGCGTCAACTTTGACCGTTTTTCCCCTCTGGGAGACAAGCGTCAACTACATATAAGATACAGGCATAGTTAGGCAATATCTAAGGAAGAATGGTGAATGGACTTCATAAAGCTATAGGCTGTTTTTGATGATTTTGAATGCAATTACGTTCACGAGTTGAGTCATCTTGTCGAAGGACGTCAAAATCGAGAAACTAACAAATGACATTCGATGACCTAACCTTTGGTGATCTGAACTTTGACCTGACCATAGAAATGGTCAAAGCACCTATCAATTTCATAATTTGTATGCCCTTTCGAACGTCGTTTACCACTAAGGGCCTTAGTGGTAAACGACCCTCCTGGGGCACGTACTCGCTACGTGCCCCAGGAGGCATGAAAGCCTAAAGGGAGCACAAAAATCGCTCCTACTCCCCCCTACTCGATGTACCTACCTTTTATATCAGGCCACTCAATGACCTCCCTGGCGAGGATCAAGTCAAAAGTAGGTTAAAAAGTCAATAAATAAAAACTAAAATCAGTAAATAAACAAAAATTTTACAGGTGGGGCATTCCACGATAGATCGTACCACTTTTTTCCAATTTGACACCCTCATCTCTCGGATTTTAACGATAATTGGTCTAAGGGGTAATCAGGGGCTCGGAATCCTCCTGTGACAATTTCAGACTAATCCGAAGAGCAGTTTTTGAGTTATAAGGTATAACATGTTTTGGATCTTGCGTTGCAGCGCCAAGTTTGGCGGGCTGTAACTCTAAGACGGATAATCCAAATGCCAAATGCTATACGGCATTGAACTTGCATTGAAACAAAGAATAATATGCATTTTTAAAATTTTGAAATAAAAACTATTTTTGATAATTGATATATAACACATCGAGTTTCCTTTCATTTGCATTTTTATGCCTTTGGGACCAAATTTTTTTGAATTTTTATTTACTTAAAAACATTTTTGGATCATTATTAAGTAGTATGCAAAAAAATTAGGAAGGTGTTCTTTCTATAAATGTACTTATTTTGCGTTACCGTACCTAATGGTCTCGAATTGTGATTTCGGGAAGAGAGCCTACAAATGGCGTGGTAAAGCTGCCTAGTGACATCACTGGTTACTGAAAGTCCAATTGAAGTCATTTTTGCCTCACGTTTCCATTGTTGACCTTGCGTGACGTCATTCGTACGTCACTAGGGTCATAAGAGTTTTTCGTCAATAACTCTCGATCAAATTGAGCTAGAGAGACGGGAAAGCTACCAATGGACTCGGGAAGACCTTGCGAATCGAATGATGTGCAATATGATCTCATTCACCCAGCTTCGTGGCCTAACCCGACTGTTAACCATCTCTGTGGCGGCGCTGTTTGTCCAGCGCCGCGCTGGTTGGCTTTGCCGCGGACTCGGGGCGGTCACGTGATGCCCGGGGGCTGGCTGCCGGCTGGGCCGCCCGGTCGGGGAGCGGAGCCAAATATACACGGCAGTGTGCTGACCCGAGGTCAGCGACTTAAGCTGACCTCACCAGAACAAACAGTATACCATTCGACGCGCCGGAGCTAGGCAAACACAAATATGCTAAAATCGGGGCTATGAGACCATTTGTTGCGAAGTTATCTACCAAAAACCGGACCCGTAATTTGGGTCACTTGAAATGACCTCAGGGGTCACCAATGGACCCCAGACCTTAAAATGTGGTATCATTCGATGCATCTTGTAACGGCGCACATGTTCGTTTTTCCGCAAGGTTCTAGCTCCATTAGAGGCGAAACGGCGAGCTGGGGTCGTACCGACCCCCGGAAACCCATTTTGTATGCATTAGAATGAGGAACTTATGGAAAGAACACCTTTCTATTTTTTTGCATGTCGATTTTAAATGACCTGAACTTTATTTTGAAGAAATAAAAATGATGGCAAAAATTTTGGTCCCAAGGGCCGTTATAGACAATTTAAAAAAGTATTACGACTTTTTTTCAATATGTACAGCTTTTCTTTTAAATTTAAAGAAAAAGTTGTATTAATCTTTGATTCATCGTTAGTTCAAAGCTGTTTACCGTTTGTTGCTTGCTTAGCTCGTTTTTGAGTTATAGCTCATCAAACTCACCCTTACAATCTGAAGTTTATAAAATATTATGCAATGTAGCTCAAAAAGTTTTCATCTGAGAAGTCTGAAACTTTGACAGGCGTTTTTGTAGCCTATGATTACCCCTAGTACCAATTTTCATTCAAATTTGAGAGATGAGGGTGACGGGCCTGGTACGATCTATCGTGGAATGCCCCAGGTACGGGGACCCGCAGTTGCTACTGTACACGAACCCCAACTCTAGCCGTCTGTCCTGTCCAGAAACAACCGATAACATTGATATCGACTGCCGGTCCCTGTACAAGAGCAGCTGAGGTTTTCTGTGCGTGCCCTCTGACAGCTTATCGTTGTTCCCTGTGAGGGTGCTGGGACAATTTACTCAGGGTCGCTGTACAGTAGCAACTGCGGGTCCCCGTACTGGTACGCATGTAAATGTCAACTCAGGAAGAAGACACATGTCCCTGGGTGTGAATGCCCTCGTACTGGGGGGGGGGGGGGGGGGGGGGCGTGCAGTCGGACTTTATAATTCACTTCCAAATTTAGTATCAACTCGATACTTATTTTGAAAGTGACTGAATGTCTCGGAAATATTTGGTGAACGTATGTAGGGTAGCCTGGGGCAAGACGCCCCAGATAATTTAGTTTGCTACATAGGGGAAGTTGGGGCAATGCCGGAGTTTGGGCAAAGCCGAAATTCGAGATATTTCGGAAACCGTAAGACATGGATGCCACCTGTCAGTGATGCTCTGAAGCTTAAGTGACTACAATTATCGCATGTTTGTTACGAGTCGTCATTCGGAATACTTCGGCTGTGAGGGCGCCAAGAGCGTTTTCAAGGTACGCGTTCCTTGTACTACATGCGCCTTTGAAGCTACATTTCTTACTCATTATGCTACCATTTGTCTGGCCAATTCGGTCAAGTAATCTTCAGCATGTCTTTGCATAAGTGTGCTGCCTATTTGAAATTTATACGGCACGTTGAAAAGTTATGGGCCTGCAAATGAAAGTATGGCTGGCTGGGGTAATGCCGAAAACGTGCAATTACGCACGTTAAAGCACGCTACGTGGACTTTACTGCTGTAGAATAGCAACGCGAATTTTTAGTCACACAAATTACACTTTCAACCGACACAACGGCCTGTTACCTATAAGGAATTATTTACCTGGCATTTTCTTATTATATCACACAATTATAACTTCCAGTGTGCACCAAGCGTCCTCAAGCTCTTAAAACGCGTGTCAGCTTTGATAAATTCTGGATAAAGTTTGAGATAAAGTGGCAAAACATCAATGTCAGCATTCCCCGTAGATCATTTCTCCCATTTTCGGCTTTCCCCGCAGTCCGGGGCAACGCCGAAAAAGTCACTTCTTTGATATTTTTAGTTTGTGCGCTTATCGGTATGATAATTCATAAAATGCGCCTGGTATGTTTGAAAGGCAAAAGACTGGCCTCTCGAATGACGCCAACAAGAATAGCTTATGTTGTCTACCTTGCGTGCTACGGGCGTCAGAAAAAAGTATTCGGCGTTCCCCCAACTTCCCCTAACTTTTGTCCCACATAACCTGGAAGGCCAAATTTGTGCTCAATGCGTTCTTTGGACATTTTACTTTAAATTCCACCCCTCAAATTCATTCACTTATGATCGGACTCCCAGCTAGGAAGTGGTTTGTGAAGCAACTGCAAATAGGGCGTTTTGCCCCAACCCCAGGG